ATAAACAAAGAGGAATCTACCTTTCAAATTTTATTAACTCGAAATACTCTAGAAAAATAATAACTTTGCTCTAAACCCTTCAACAACAAGTATTTTAAATAACTCAAAAACCCTATAAAGCTCCCACAAAATGTAGTAATCCATTATCGTCAATCCTAACCGCCTATTACTAACTTAAAAATAAATAAATAAATGATTTTACCACTAATGACATCAAAAATAAGAAAAGTAAAATAAGCAATAAAGCATAATAAAAACACAGTAAACCCTAATAACCCAAAATATAAAAGCCCAAAAAAAAATCCTAAAACCCCAAAAATATGTCAGTTAATTTTATTAATTATAGAAAAAACGCCGAGGCTCTAAACAATCAAATTAAAGCCACCTCAAAAATTTCACCAGAAGATATTGTTTTGATGCCCAAATATCCTCAAATTGATCATCTCGACCTCAAGATACATAGACATACGAAAAAATGGATTTCAAGTTTTGGAAATAGTGTATCTTATAATGCATTTTTGGCCCGTCAATATTCAAAATTTTCAAGGTTTTCATAGATATGCTCGATCTATACTATATTTGAAGCTTTAAATTTTATAATTAAAGATGAAAATATATTTTAAGGCTATCACAAAGATTTCCAATATTGAAACTACATTTATCAACACTATTTGACGGTGTGTTTTACTTTGACTGTTTAAAGTCCTGGATCTATACAATCCACAAACACGCATAAATTTGCCCATCCCGTGTGCCTGTGTCATCTTCTTTCACCTTAATCCAGGGCACACATGAGCTAGCACCTTAGATTTCATAGCTTCAAAACCGCTAACAATTCCATCAATAAATCTATTATCTCTCTCTCTCCTACAGGTTCCCCAGAATACCTGCAAACAACACAAATCAAAGTAAGATTGCGTAGGGAAAAGGTGTGGATCTCCATTCCTAAAACAATTGCAAGATCAAACCGTCCCGGAGTCCAACTCCAACTCCAATCAAGTCTGCAACACTAGGAATGGAGAAAAATGGTGTTCATTAGTCTCCTCATCCTCGTTACAAAGCAAACAAATATTGACCATAATAAGTTTTCGTTTCCCCAATTACTCAAGGACATGGTTTCTATAAGTCCATGTAGAAATGAGTTGCCTCTTAAAAATCTATTTTTGAGATGGATTTTTGGATTTAATTTTTTAAGGATAGGTAATCTCTAACATGGAGATCATGAATATGAAAAAATAAATAAATTTTGAAAATTAGAAATAATAGTTCTATTTAAAAAACATGTAGACAGTTAGTTTCAAATATTTTTAGATGGACATGTAGACCGTTAGTTTCAATTATTTTTAGGTGGACCACCTATTTGCATCCATCTTTAAAATAGATGCTTTATACCTTGAGACTGCATATTGTAGAAATGTGGTCCAACACGCATGAAACAATTCTCCATTTCTCAATTGACAGTTTCAGTTGCAAATGGCTAGCCAAGAGAAAGCCTTATTACATGGAGAAGATGGAAGAGACCATGCTTTAATATCCGTTGATCTTTGCTGCACATACAAGAATCCCACAACTTTTCATACTAGGATTTAACTGAAAATTTTCACCAGAAACAGTCAATCTTTTAGCATAATGCCTTTTATTTTTTAGATACTGATTCATTTAGCTCGAAATGGAGCATCCCAAACTCTTCATTCCAAAAAAATTGTACTAGCTCCATTCCCAGCTACAATTTTGCTATAACTAGTATACAGTGGCCGGCGACAAACGATCCCCTTCCGAATTGAGGAAGTATTCAATCTTGAATTAAGCTTTTTTCATTTATATAAGAATTCCATCTCATTGTAAGCATACCGATCCTCACTACTCCAAAAGAATTTCCTCATTAAACCTTCAAGTCTCTAAGTAATCTCATCGGGAGCAATAAATAAGGAAAAACTATGTATCAAAAGATTTGGAAAGAGTTGTTTTAACCAGATTGCTTTCCCCAAAAAGGGTGAGGATTTTAAACCTGCCTTAAACATATCCCATACTTGAGTAAAGGAGGTGGATTGCCTTACATAGACAACCAACATAAAACTTTATCACATTCTTATCATAATGATGAATTCTTTTCCCAAAAGACAGGTATTTAACTTTTCAAAAATCAAGATTGCTTTGAAAGGTTCCCAAATTTACTTCGTTAACTCTACTACAATGAGTCTTTTGGATTTGACTTAGAGGTTTTAATAAATTAGCAGTTTTATTTGAGCAAAGGGTTAAAAACGAGTGGAAAGAGAATTTCAAATAGGAGACAGTTTTTTTAAGGTTGCAACTATATCATCAAATATTAGTGGCAATTCGTGGGCCAAAGAAGCTTGCTCCAAAATTTTACGGACCTTACGAAGTCATTGAATGCATTGGCAACTGGAGCTATCAGAATCATCAAAAATTCACCCACTGTTCCACATATCATACCTTAAAAAGGTGGTTGGGATGAATATAGTTGTCCAAACCATTGTAGGAAAAATCAAATTGGAACGGTTAACCGTACATGGGCCTGGAAACAGTTCAACCCGCTTAACCAGTAAACCGGTTGGTTCAATTGTTTTAACCGAGCAAGTTCTGGGCAGTCAAAAAAGTATTAAAAATATATAATAAATATAACAAAACATAAAAATATATTTAAAGAATGATTAAACAAAGCACATCAAAATGAAGTTAAAAATTAATGAAAAATGGATTTTAAAGAATCGATTTGTACCCAATGGTATTCTTAAAAATTTCCCAAAAAAATAGAAAAATGCAAAAATAAGTATTAATGGCCAAAACAATTGTCAATATTTACCATAATGATGAAAACATTAAAAGAACACATTATAAACAAAATCATTTTTTGGGATTTTATATAATTTTTTTAAAATACCTGGTCTATTATCAAAACCAGTCGAAACCGAAATCGATTCTGATCTAACCGGGAGGTTACCGATTAAATGGATGGGATTTTTTGAGTTAGTGTTTATTAACTAGAAGTAAACGTATGATGATTTTGGAGGTTCTATGTATTATGTATAGAATAGGTCAAGCTTGAACTTATGATTGTTATCAAGGAGGAATGCCCCTCAAAGTGACACGTACCGTTAATGTTTTCAATAAAATATTATTCTTAGGTTGTATTTGATAAGTAGGAGTTTCTAGATGAGAATTAAATGTCCCACTTCTCCCACTTCTATGTTTGATATTACTGTGTGGAAGTTGTAAAGTGGAAAGGCAGCCTTCCATGCTGCTCCCTTCTAGGGTATAAATAGGTTCAATTTTGAAAGACCTCCCTGCCATAAAAACCTAATGGAAGAACAGTCTTCAATAACTTGGGTCTCTGTTGTCCCAGCCAAGCAAGCAGGATGATCAACATTTATGCAGTTTCTCTGACTCCAACAGAATGAAAAAATCTAAACTATCACTACCCAATCCTCTTTCTCAAAATACCTCAAGCTCTCTCGCACTTCCCATGAGCCATAAGCAAATTGAGACATCAGTAAATGTATAACTCTATCTGCTTTGTAAAATGGGTGCAGTTGGCATACGGATGCATCCGTAGATGGGTGCAGTTGGCATACCGATGCATCCGTAGCTGCAGAGGTAAGGTGAACCTTCAAATTTTATCATGGTGTATAATACATCCGTAGCTGTAGAGGTAAGGTGAACTTTCAAATTTATCATGCTGTATAATTTTGATGTAACATGTTCTTAGGATTATTCCAAAATCTATTTTTATATCTAATTATAAAATTTTAAATTTTAAAAATGATTAAAATCAAGTAAATCTATAAACATATGAAAATCTTGAAAATTGACGGTGTAGATAATATGTTGTAAAATGCACTATTTATGAATCTTAAAGTCTTTTTATTTTTCATGGTCATACATCTCAAGGTCGAGATGATCAATCAAAGGGTTTTTCAACATTAGAACTATCTTTTCCGATGGATTGTTGAGGGGCATCCGTAGAGGTAAGGTTGCAACCTTGTATAAACTTTTTCCTTGTAAAATATGCAGGGTCTTCTTTTATCTCATTTCATTTTTCTTTTCAAATAACATGTAACACTATAGCATATTCACCCTATTTACCGACTCCCTCAAGCAAAAAAAACCCACTTGGAAGGATCCTATAGATCCGAAATTTTGGGATCAAAACTAGATGGGTATCTTCAAAAAAAAAAAAATCAAATTCGATCTCTGATTTCCTATATGCTTAAGATCATAGTCCAAAACTTGGGCGGCGTTTCATTCGTTTGGGAACATATAGTGTGCATGAAAGTCACTTTTCTGAGTTGATCACACATCCACAAATTTCAGGTTGTTGAAAGTTATCCTGAATAGGGTTCTAGCCAAGGGACTAAATGTTCGATATGCTTCCATGGATGTGTGTGGCTTATCATGCAATTGCGAACACATATCTATACAAAACGAATGAAACGCTCGAGTTCATTGATTGTGCGCTCCTGAGGGAGCACACAACTTCCTCGCCATGAAAATGTGCTTTTCCCATATTTTTAAGTAGGGTGAGGCTTGTACAAGGCTTAGGCCCTAAACAATCAAACTAAAGCGCACCTTCAAATAATTATTCAAATAATTTCGAAAGATGTTTCACTATTGAAGATCTTTGTGATGTGTCTGAAAATTTATTTTATCTCTAATTATAAAATTTAAAGCTTCAAAAATAGTGTTATCAAGAATATCTATGAACACTTGAAAATCTTGAAAATTGACCGTCCAAAAAATACAAGATACACTATTTCTAAAGCTTGAAATCCATTTTATTCGCCTATATATCTTGAGGTCGAGATGATCGATTTGAAGATTTTTGGGCATCGAAACAATCTCTTCTAGTGGATATTTTAGGTGCGCCTTCATTTGATTGTTTATGGCCTCACCCTTATATAAACTTTTTCCTTTCAAGTAAGACCATTCTTTAATAGAATTGCAGGTCTCCCAATCTAGGGCTTACATATGAATTCCACCAGTAATTTAAAAAGATGAAAGATCTTTCAATTTCATTGTGCATGACACATACACGACATGAAACAAACGGTTGTTGATCCTTTTCTTTTAGGGATAAATCAGATTTTCATATTCAATATCTAAGGAAATAAATTTTGAATAAATTGAAGATAAGCTCACATGAACAAAGATATACAACTACTGATACATTTCTCACATCAGGACACCTCAGTTTAACCGCCATAATCAGCCTCCAGGATTATTCCATGGACTTAGAGATGCCATGCGGATACTGATTCTTCATAGCCATAAGAATGATCATCATTGGTATAAATGTGTTGAGATGTATACGAGGAAGAAGAGGATCCATTCAATTTCAATCAATGATTGTTGCCAAGTTCGCAGCTTGGCGGACATCCTTCATTCAACAAAAACTTCTCCAGCTTCTCATTACCCTTTTTTCGAAACCAATGCAGAAACCAACTGTTCACTGCATGGGTTGTGATTTGGTTCTCTCAGGAGTCCCTGCATTACACAATGAATGACTACTGAACCGGCTTACCAAGTCCATGATGACCTCAGTCAATGCGCTAAATTGAAAAATCAGTTGTTTCCAACATGGAGGCAAATACAAGATTTCAAAAAAAAGAAACAAAAAAAGATAATAAAAAAACTCCACAGAACCCTAAGAAAAGAGAGAGGGCAGCAAATGGCTAAAGTGATTGTACTAGGAATGACTTCATCAATGATACAAACTACGAATAATGATTTGTTAACAATAAAACTAGTAAAATGCTTCATCTGACAGCTCATGTAAACTATGTCGTGACTTCATTTTGCCCCACAAAAAAGGAATAATTAGAATAATTGTGAAATATATTATGAAGAGAAAAGGAGGGCATCCTACGCAAGATCAACTTTACAAGATATAAGCTGCCTAGCATTCATGACTTGTGTTCCAAAACATACCAAGCGGTGCCTAGGCGGCTGCTCAGGGATCTAGGCAGCCTAGGCTCGAAAGGGGCAAGGGGTGTTTTTAAGACCAGATTTTGTACAAAAAATGCATATTCATACATTTTTTATAATCCAAATATAAAAAACACCACAAGCCCCACCCAATGGGTATTTTTGAACTAAGGCAAGCACAGTCCCTAGGGCGCCCGCCCAGGTACCCTAGGCCCCCCGCCTAGACGAAGTACTAGGAGGGTGCCCAGGGACAACCCACCGACTAGGCAATGCGTCCAGGCCCCCCTACGTGGGGCGGACCACTTTTTGAATCAAATGACTAAAATGGGCCAAAACTAATCACTTGTTCATTATGATAGTGAGTGCCATGAGATGTCAACATTTTCCTCATATGAATCCAGAAAATACGACTGCTTCCAAGTGCCTGGTCATGTACATCACTTTATGACGAGCTGAACAGAAGGTGCTCGTTGAATCCTCACAAGGTCTCTGAGGAAACTCTGCACCTTACAGCTAGAATTCTCTTATGAGTTTCACATGCGAGATCAAATAAAGACTGCCACCTTGTTACCTTCCCTACAGCAATGGGAGATGCTCCAGGTATGTGACCTATGGGAACCAAAAACAATGACTCACCACGAAGGGTATAAATAGAAAAAAAAAGGAAACTTGGGAATTCAATTTTATCCAAGTTTCACCGATCATTCTCTTTAAAATTTGTCTACTATACAAGTGGGTAGAAAAAGCTTAGACAGTCACTTGTCTCAAGGGTCCCCTTTCGTAGGTTGTTTCAAACCTTAATATCTGAATTTTCCGTTGGAGAAAATTCAGTTGAGTTAGTTCATGGAAACAAGATTATCACCTTCCAGGGAGTACAATAACAGCGGTCCACAAGCATACCAGCAAATTTATGCCTCTATGTTCCCAATACCCATAAACAAGTCATAACAAATTTAAATGATTTTCAGAAATTCATGGTGGTCAAGGCCACAGTTTATGAATATAACAGGAGACTTGCTCAACCAGGATTGGGGCCTCGAGGTGCTCAGACTACTTGAAGTACACAACACAAGCTTTATGATACAATATTGGAGGCTGACAATCAATGGAAAAAAAATTATCAGGCCATTACTCTAAGGGCAGACACCGTAGTAGATAGATGTTATGGACATTGAAAAAAAAAAAGAGTACAAGAATGGTAGTAAGCTGTCTATGGAGGGACACTTCAATTGCAGATTTTGAAAATGGAAACTGTACATCACTACCAAAAGTGCATCTTTCAGCTGGCAGGTTCTCCTTGATGGGGTCCCAGCGGAACAGCCGAACAAGGAATCCCTAAAATGTTGAACATATTTCATGAAATGCCATACAAGTTTGGGGATCCCATTGGAACAAGTCTGCATATACAGGCATATATAGCTACTTTATTTATTTTTATTTTTTCTGATAATGTTGACTGTTATATATATTAGAGAAAAGTACAAAGGGGAAGGAAAGAGAGGGCTATCCACAGGCAGATAGCAGAGTTACAAGGGTGAGAGAGAGAAGAGCCATCCACTAAGGATAGTTAGTGGAGTTACAAAGGGGAGAAAGAGAAGAGCTATCCACTTGGGATAGCTAGAAAAAGCTACTAAAAGCTAAAAGCGTGGGTACAATATGCAGGGTAAGAGAGGAGCCTCAAGAAAGGCTGTTAGGAAACTCGGGTTCCACTTGTCGAGGTGTTCAAGATCTTCACCGCGGGCCGCAGCTTTCGCCATGGCATCTGCAACGTGGTTTGTCTCCCTCCATGTGTGCCTCCATTCGACGGTTAGTCTCCTGCATAGGTGTAAGATTTCGTCAAAGATGTGGTTTAAGACCCAAGGGATAGAGGAGGGATGTCTAGCCCAAGTAATGACATTCTTTGAGTTGCCTTCTATTATAAAAGACGAGTTTGAGAAGGGTTGGATCAATCTAATGCCCTCTAACAGCGCAGTAGCTTCTGCCTCCATTGAGTCCATGTGGCCTACGAACTAGGTGGTCAAAGCCAACATGGAGCCAGCGTGGTTTCTAAGCACAGCTCCTATTCCTGATGGTCCAGGATTGCCTAAAGAGCACCCTTCAAAGTTGAGCTTAAGGTGGCCCTGGGGTGGGGGTTGCCAATGTGAAGCTCTAGGAATCCTCCCCTTGGAATAATGCATAACGGTATTCCAATTGATGGAAGGCTGAAACTGGGACTCCTTGGAAAAGTTTGTGGTTTGTGGCGCAAAAAACTACCCGAGCCTTGATTTTAGGGAACACAAGAGAAGGTGTTCCTAGTTCCCCCCTAAAAGATTCTGTTGTTTCTTTCCCTCCAAAGGGCCCATACAATTGTTGCGACCATAGTTTTCCGAAGGAAAATGCCAGCCTTGGGCCAGGGGTATGGTTCGAAAGCTCTGAGTAGCGAGAGTACCTCTTTGGATAGGACCCACTGCATGCCAAAGAGAGACAGGATCTTCCCCCAGACTTCGAAAGCAAACAAGAATGAGAGGAACAAGTGAGAGTTTGTCTCCTCCTCATTGAGGCACAGAGCACATCTGATTGGGAGTGAGAACCCACTTTGCTGAAGATGGTCAACAGTGAGCACTTTTAAGTGAAGTGCAATCCACATGAAAAGTTTCAGTCTTGGAGGCACCATGGAGGTCCAAGCTTGGTTGACCAAAGAGGCGAGATTTAACGGAAAGGTAGGTGGTTGTGATATGAAAGAGTAGAGAGAAGAGACTGTAAAAACCCTGAGGCGGCAGGTGCCCAGATGATTTCGTCTTCACCATGGGGTTGAAAGAAATAAGAAGCCAGGACATGGGCTAATTCTAAGAACGACGCAATCTCAGCTGAAAGGCCTCTTCTGAAAAGATGATTCCACAACCTTGAGCTCTCAGCAAGATCAAGGTCTTCTTCTATAAGGGCATTTTGATGACGTGCCAAGGAGAAAAGTTCCAGATACTGGTCTTTAAGAGGCTGGTGACCTATCCAAAGATCCGACCAGAATCGAATGTTGTTGCCCCCACTGGCTTGGAATCTGATCCCTCTAACGAACAGGTGGAAAGATTTGATGATAGACTTCCAGATTCTGGAAGCCCTAGGATAAAATTTTAACTCTGGTAGCCACGGGGTATATGGGATGCGGTATTTAAACCTGAGAATGTCCACCCACAGTAGAACCGTAGAGTTAATAGTCTCCACCCCCACTTACCAAGAAGAGCAATATTTTGCTGTCTTAGGTTTCTGATCCCCAAACCACCCAGCCTCTTAGGTAAGCAAAGTTTATCCCAGGCCACGAGATGGAATTTGGGAGTAGAGGCGTCCCCAGCACCAAAAGAATATACGAATGAGCTTCTCGATTCTTTGTACCACTGCTATAGGCATGCTGAAAAGGGCCATCTGGTAAGATGGGTATGTTTGCTAAAGTGGCTTTACTGAGAGTAAGTCTGCCAGCTGGTGAGAGGAACCACCCTTTCCATCCTGCGAATTTGCGGTCAACTTTGTCCAGGATGTTTGACCAAAGCTTCTTCTTTGGTTTCCCTACACACAGGGGTAGTCCTAGGTAGGTACAGGGGAGTTCGTCAGCCTCGCAGCCCCAACTGTCTGAAAAGCCTTTGACCTCTTCAGGGTCAACCACCACCCAAACATCTTGGTTTTCTTAAAGTTCACCCTAAAACGAGTAGAATATTCGAAGCATCTTAGGAAGAGGAAAAGATAGTTTACTTCCTCCGGTAAGGCATTGCAAAAGACCAAAGTGTCGTCCGCATATTGAAGGTGGGAGACAATGGGGTCGTTGTTACCACACGAGAAACCGTTCAACAGACCCGCAGCATACATCCTAGATATGGATCTGCTTAACACCCCTGTTGTTATGGCAAAGTGAAATGGGGAGAGAGGGTCTCCCTGGCGGAATCCCCTAGTGGAAGGAAAGAACCCTTTTGAGGACTCGTTAATGAGGATTGAGAACTAGGGTTGGGTGTAACAGGCACTCATCCAACGTCTCCACCTACTTCCAAACCCCATCCTCAATTGGGTTTCTTCGACAATCACCCAATCGAAATGATCATAAGCCTTTTCCCAGTCCAATTTGACAACGGGACCTGGTCGTTTTGCGATATGTAGCGAGTGAGCGTAGCTACAAGAGCCCTGTCTAGAATCTGACAATCTTTAATGAAGGCCGCAATGGTTTAGGAAATTACCAGCGGCAATACTTCTTTCAATCGAGAGGATAAGACCTTAGCGATTATCTTATAAGTCGAATTTACCAAGCTAATGGCGCAAAAGTCCTTGAGACAATCAGCACCTTCTAACTTTGGAACCAATGCAATGACAGTGGCATTTATAGCACGGTGAATGACCCCTCTGGCATGGAATTAAGAGAACAAGGCTAAAAGATCAGGCCAGAAGGATTCCCAAAACTCTTTGAAGGGAGCTATGGGACATCCATCCGGTCCGGGCTCCTTGTTCTCTGCCAGGCTAGAAATGGCAGCATAGATTTCATCTTCAGAGAACAGTCTCTCGAGCCAGGACGCTTTTTCAGGATTAAGCGTGCTGAATTGGAG